CAAAAAAAAAAAAAAAAAAAAAAAAATAATTACTGTCTTCAGTGCATTGAGCAAATCTACAGTTGACATTGTGTGGAAGTCCAAGCTAATGGCTGCTCCCTTGTTCTTCATATGAGAAATGTTATCAGGTTGATCCGCAAACAGAGGAATGCCCACCATAGGGATCCCATGGTAGATCGCCTCATAGATGCCATTGTTTCCACCATGAGTTATAAAAGCTTTGGTTTTTGGATGACCTAAGATTGTTTGAATTTTACCACAATTAGTCATAGAAATAAAATGAAAAACGTGCATGTTTGCTAGAGACTAGATTATATTTACATATCAAATGTCATTCAAATTGCTTTCAGATTTCAGAGGCAGAACACTTACTTCTGCTAAAGAGGTAAGTGAAGGCAACAAGAAAGAGGTCGTGTGTGTGACTGAGACAGGAAAAACAAACACAAGATTACAGGAGGGCAAAATGAAAAAGCACGTTCTGGATAAAATAAATAAAATATGCCAGAAAGAATAAAAAGAAAAAGGTGGTGCATATAAAAACATGAAACTGATACGTAGAGAGTTCGGGGCAACAGGGAATGGGGTTTGGTGGTGCTATAATCAGAGGAAGGGTAGGTCACACTTCATCATGAAATGTGCTACCACTTCATGGTAAACACTGGGGATTTATTACCATAGAAAAAGCAGAACTACTAGTAATTGAACTATTAATTTTAGTGTCATTTGAAATATTTGTCTGCAGGGAAAAAGACGGGTGTAAAGTTGTAGAAATCAGAGACAGAGATTTTCCAGGAAGTTATTAAAAAAGTCACTGTAAGAGGTCATTGAAGCTGAAATAACGATACTTTGATCCTGCTTATTAAAAACCATGTGTATACATTAAAATAAAAACTGTCATAGTTTATCCTTTTTCCCCCCAGGACTTAAAAATAAATTTAATCTAATTAAGTTTTATTTTTGAGTTTTTCAATAATACTTGTTCACTAAGCATTTTTCATGTTAAACTACCACCATTCTTTTTGACTGTTATTCATATATTCAGTATTGGTTCCCCAAAGTCTTACCAAGAAGGTCATTTTGTGGTATCCACTTATACAGCTGAGTATTATGTCCTAAGGTATCTGGTTTCTTGCCATCAAATCTCCATATAATCTGTTCAAATAAAGAAAATATTTGTCCCATGAGTGGAACTCCATAGTGAGAGCATTTTACAACTCTAAAGAGATTAACAATTATCTACTTAAACCCCTTTCATACAAAAGATAAAAAGGAGAACAAAAGATAAGCAATGACAACTATTAAAATCTGATGCAGATAGAATAACCACATTTTATATCTTTACTTTTATAAGTCAATTGGGCATAAAAGGAAATGATGTTTCAAACATAGTAGCTTGGACAACTGAGATTATTTTTTGAAATATTAAGTTGAAATGATAAAATGTTAAGCAGCCATTACAATTTCACTGCAAAAAAACTAAAAATTAATATTGACCTATATACTTATTTTGTTTTATATAGTTTATACTGGTCTTCAACTTCCTAAGTTAATATTAATATTTTCATTTTTGAGTGATTTTGGAAGTAATTTGCTTATTATATTATATAATGTATTCCATATTATAAGTTATTATATTAAAGTTTGACATATTTTGATCTACCAAAAAACAAAATCCATGAAATTAGCTACTTGCAAGAAATGTGTTAAATATGCTTAAGAAACTGTATAATTATTTTAGATTACAAATTATTAAACACTATTTCCAAGAAAATTTGAAGTGCCAATTTTTGACATACATTCAGAGTGCTATCAGTATTAACCGAGAGATGGATTTTCTTTACAACCTCGAAAGAAAGAGCCTGCTGGTACCAATAAAAACAATGCAGCTGTTAAAATAATTCAAAATTACATTTTGCAAAATTTTGCTCATTCATTATTAGCACAATGCACTACAAAGCATTGACAACAGTTATTCATATGCTCTGCTATAGCCAAGGTTTTTTATTCTTTAGTTTGGAACTTGAAAGCACTCCTCAAACTGGAGTATAATTTACAGTGTTTAATTTGCCATGTGAATGTTAAAGTATCATTGGGTTTTGGGCAAAAAATTGGTATAGGTCGATAGAAGAAGTCTATATTGGATAGGAAACTAAAAAGTAATTCACAAATACACAAAGATCCCAGGTGTCTTCTATGTATTAGAAAATAAGATCCTAATATGCATTATGGAGAAGGGCTTCTGAACCTCTTCCCTTGCTTGACTTCCTTCTGCTTGACTCCTTTCTATATTCCCTTCTGTTTTCTCAGTTGGGAGGAGATATTAATCTGATAGAGCAGAGAACTTGTGAGGTCACATTTTCATAATGCACATACTCCACCATAAGGGCAAGATTCATCTCCATCCTTTGTCTTGCATCTTTCTGCTTTAGACATTGGCAAGGTCAGTGGAGTGGACCAAGCTGGTTTTTCTTATTCTCTAAATCAGCCTGGCTGAGTGGGTACCTAGACTAGTGGTTTGTCAATCTGGGCCATTTTTGTTTTTTGAATAACACCCTGAAGAGCACTTGGATAGGCTTATTCCAAAATGCACAGAAAATACAAGAGGCCAGATTACATGGCAAGTGTTAACTGCATGATGCATTTCAGACTTTTTCAATACCTGCTTTTTGTTACTGTGCTAGTGAAATTACCCATTAAAATTTACCAACTTTTTGATAAAATCTGCAGTGTGTACAGTATTCTCCAGAATCCTATAAACAAAAAGATCAAATGGAAGGACAGAATGTTGTGATTTCTGTGTACCTACCTGTAATACCATGGTAGTAGCCAAAGCTCACTTGCACCCTTTAAACATATTATTCTCTGATCTCAAAGTTATCATCAATCAAAAACATACTCTATTTTAGAAACTTTTTTTATATTTGTGTTTTTGAACTGATATCTGAGATAATTAGAACTGTTCTAACAGCTAAACTTTCGGTAAGAAATTTCCACAACTGAACTCTTTACAGAGTTTAACAGACCAATTTAGTATTTTTCCACCATTGAGGCACTTTATCTAATCTTTTGTGGGATCTGGGCAAGAGCTGAAGCAATCACATTGGCCCTTTCTTCTGTCATGTCACTGACCATTGACCCCAGAGAAAACACCACAACACCATTTTCTCCAGAGCTCTGGACAAAGTCTTCCATTTCCTGTGAAGAAAAGATTTACTATATCACTGAAGAGCAGCAGCACATTATTGAAAGGATTGCTACATCAATAAAGGAGAGAAAATGAAGTATGATCAGGAATTATTAAAATAATCGTTTTTTTTTAACTGGCACAAACATGTTTGGAAACAGATGCTTAATATGAGATAGATGTCCTCTATTGTGTAAACATGTATGTGTATATGGATTTATGTGTGTGTGTGTGAGTGTATGCATAGGTGTGTTTGTTTCATCAGCAATGATAATGCTTGGAAATATTATACTCAGACCCTGCATTTATAATAATATTACTATTATTATATTATAATAATATAGATTCTTGAAGAAGGTACTTCTAAGCTATTATCCTTCTATTAAATCATTTGTGTATATCTCAGGCAGATTTTCTTTTGGTTTGGAGCCATTCATGTCTAATTTTCCTGACTAAGAGCATCAAGGAAAAGTTACAGTTGGGATAATTTTATATATATATATATTTTTTTTTTCATTAATCAGTATTTTTTATTATGGTTTTGTGGGGTACAGTTAAGGGTTAGGTGTACAATGACGTTTCATTCAGGCACCCTGTAGATAAGAAGTGTTTTCCCATCCCCCAACAGATATTTGCTACTGTTAATCCCATCCCCCTCCCCCCCATAGTTTCCCAGTACCATCAGTCATTTTCTTATAGTATTGCATTGGATGTTCAAGGTCCATTATATGAGTGAGAACATGTGATATTCGGATTTTTGTTTCTGTGAGAGGTCACTCAGTATTATAGATTCTAGTTCCATCCAGGTTGCAGCGAAATTCATGATTTTGTTCTTTTTTATGACTGCGTAGTATTCCATCGTGTATATGTACCACATTTTTTAATCCAGTCCTCTTTTGATGGGCAGCATGGTTGTTTCCAGGTTCTTGCTATTGTGAACAATGCTGCGATAAACATACGTGTGCAGGTATCTTTTTTATACAGTGATTTGCGTTCTTCAGGGTATATTCCCAGTAGGGGGATTGCAGGGTCATATAGAAGGTCAATTTTTAGAGCTTTTAGGAATCGCCACACTGCTTTCCACAGAGGTTGCACTAGTTTACACTCTCACCAACAGTGTAGAAGTGTTCCCTTTTCACCACACCCTCTCCAGCAGCTGTTATTTTTTGAGTTGTTGATAATTGCCATTATGACTGGAGTTAGGTGGTATCTCAGTGTGGTTTTGATTTGCATCTCCCTGATGATTAGTGAGGTTGAGCATTTCTTCATGTGTTTGTTGGCTGCTCGAATGTCTTCTTTTGTGAAGTGTCTGTTCATGTCTTTTGCCCATTTTATAATGGAGTTGTTTGTTTTCTTCTTTTCAGTACGTTTCAGTTCCTTGTAGATCCAGGATGTTAAGCCTTTCTCAGACCTAGAGTTGGCAAATACTTTTTCCCAGTCTGTAGGCTGTCTCCCTGCTCTCTTGATGGTTTCTTTGGCTTTGCAGAAGCTTGTCAGTTTAATAAGGTCCCATTTGTCTATCTTCTCTCTTAAGTCCTGTGGGTTTCGGGTTTTGTACAGGAATTGGATGCCAGTTCCGATTTCCATGAGAGTATTTCCTTCCTTTTCTAAGGTTCTTATGGTTTGAGGTTTTACATTTAGGTCTCTGATCCATTTGGAGTTAACCTTTGTGCATGGGGATAGATAGGGGTCCTGTTTCAATCTTCTGCATGTGGTCAGCCAATTTTCCCAGCACCATTTACTGAATAGGTTCTCCTCTCCCCATTGGTAGGTGGTGGGGGCTTTGTCGAAGATGAGTTGGTTGAGAAATTGAGGTTTTGCTTCTGGAATCTCAATTCTGTTCCATTGATCTATATGCCTGTTCCTGTACCAATACCAAGCTGTTTTGATGATTGTAGCTTTATAGTAAAGTTTGAAATCTGGTATTGTGATACCACCTGCTTTGTTTTTTTTGCTGAGGATTGTTCTGGCTATTCTTGGATGTTTGTGTTTCCATATGAATTCCTGTGTTGTTTTTTCTAGGTCTGAAAAGAATGTTGTTGGTAATTTAATGGGTATTGCATTGAATTTGTAGATTGCCTTAGGTAAGATGGACATCTTCACAATGTTGATTCTTCCGATCCATGAGCATGGGATATTTTTCCACTTGTTCATGTCGGCTTTGATTTCTTTGAGCAGTGTTTTGTAATTTTCATTGTAAAGATCTTTCACGTCTCTGGTTAGGAAGATGCCCAAGGTATTTCATTTTTTTTGTGGCTATTGTGAATGGAACTGTGTTTTTTATTTGGGTTTCTGTTTGTTTATTAGTGGTGTAGAGAAATGCGATTGTCTTTTGTACATTTATTTTGTATCCTGAGATTTTGCCAAAGGCTTTTATCAATGTAAGGAGGCCTTTGACAGATTCTCTTGGGTTTTCAAGGTACACCATCATATCATCTGCATAGAGAGATAACTTGACTTCCTCTTTTCCTATTTGAATACCTCTGATTGCCTCCTCTTCTCTGATTGCTTTAGCCAGGACTTCCAATACTATGTTGAACAGGAGGGGAGAGAGTAGGCATCCTTGTCTAGTTCCAGTTTTCAGGGGAATTGGTTCCAATTTTTGTCCGTTTAGGAGTATGCTGGCTGTGGGTTTCTCATAGATGGCTTTTACTATTTTGAGGTATGTTCCCCGTATGCCTAGATGTTCAAGGGTTTTTATCAAGAAGGGGTGCTGGATTTATCAAAAGCTTTTTCTGCATCTAGTGATATGATCATGTGGTTTTTGTTTTGACATCTGTTGATGTATTTAATTACATTTATGGTTTTACGAATATTGAACCAGGCTTGCATGCCAGGAATGAAG